GAGAGAGAGAGAGAAGAGAGAAAGAAAAGACACACACCGAGAGTGCTTGCTTGATCAAAAGCACAATTTTCGTGACGTCATCGGCGGTCGGGCATGCGCGAACGTATTTCGGTGATTTTCCACGCACGGCGAAACACGTGCGACGAGTCGGTCGACGCCACTGCTGCTACCGCACACAGCACTACATATCGCTAAGAAACGCGCGGCATTATCGCGTCGGAGCAGCGGCACGGACTTCCACAGATACCGAGCGCGATTCGCGAGAACCACCGCGGCTGCCGACATCTATCCATCCACTCCCACTTGTTAAGTGACGTACACTGACGTCACCGATAGTTTACCTTGAAGCCGCGTGACATTGAGCCGCAGGTTGGCCAATCGCGGCGCCGCGAAAGTTCCCACGGCCATCACGGGTCGGGTTCGCATTGTGCGCGAACATTGATAGCCATCGTCCGCGAAATGTCCAGGCTAACTTTGACGAGATTTTTACCTCGATTTTTTTCTCGAATTAATTCGAAATTAAATTTCGTTAAATTTTGATTAACTTGCTCGACAATTAATATGATCGTCGGGATTATTTTCAGGAAAATTTATAATTCATTGTCTCTTTTAATTTTTCCTTTGGCCATTTTGAATAAAAAAATATTAATAATTCTGGATTGATGAAAAATTTGATAAAGATTCACTTTCATGTTAAATCACTTTCATGTTAAATATTACTTGTATATATTACTCATGCTAAATATTACTTGGGCAAATTAGTTTCAACTTATTCAATTAAATATTCGTTAGAAAACGTTTAAGAATAACAGGCGATGTAATTACTACATAAAAAAAAGTCAGAAATTAAAATTTAATTATATTGTCAAAATTTTCTGTAAGATTGTGGTGATTTGAGATCGTTAATTTATGTATTATTATTTCAAAATATCCTTAATATTATATTAAGGATATTTTATTAATAAGTAAATTTAATTAATAAGTATTTAATTAATAAGTAAATAAAATAGAAAAAAATAAGTATGTGCGTAATATGGAGTTATGCTAAAATTAAAGTATCGTTTAAACTTAGAATGTACCATACTTAACATGCATCGTATCGTCGTAGACTAATCGCTTTCGTGCTCGAACAGAAAGATGAAGTCGATATCCCTGGCGACTGTGATTATTTCAAAGTATCCCCCACGGCGAATGTAACCCTTCCATTCGTAATGGAGGACAAAGTACGCCATTAACATATCACGCTCTTATGTCATTAATACAGCGACAATATTTATGAAGTCATTATACCCTTGAGAAGAAAGCGTCGATATTTCAAGAACGTTCACAGTTCTTTGCAATCATCGTTTTAAAACTGGAAAGAAACATAGCTTTTATCCATTTCCACTTATTTAACATTCACCTACGCAGTAAAAAATATTCTCTTCATGTTCCTGAAACCTTATGCACGGGATTTATATTAGTAGAGCAAGGCTAAAAGGATCCCCAACAATATAATCATTTCGATCCATCAGATACCGCAATCTAAAGTCATAGTCCCAGTATATGTAGCGTCATATGTAGAGACCCAAGTTTGCGATTTGTAGTCAGTTTTGTATTTATTAATACTTATTACATAAATTTTGACAATCATCATATACATGTAAAACCTGTTTCTTTTAGCTAACTTTCTTGCATTATTCATCTATTCTTCTTTTTTTCCTTAGCAAAAAAAA